GATATTGGACTATAATTTGAGATAGTACGAGGGTCACCATTTTTGAAAATTGGAACAACTCTCGCAAGTTTTAGTTTATCAGGCACTATACCACTCAAACGACAGATTGAAAATTGAAGCAAAAATTTTTAAGCTAAAATGAACGGCACAATTTGCTTTCTGGTAATTCCAGTAAAGCCATCGTGGCCTGGACTTTTGTAAGCCGGCAATTTATTTACGCACCTCATAAGCTCATCTCTGGTGATCGGAGTTAGGAAAAAGGGAGTGAGGTTAATTATCTTTACTATAATCAACAGGATCAATATCACTGCGGGGAATTGTGGATAACAGTTTGGGTCCAATGCTGGTGAAGAACTCGTTAAAACATTCTGCGATGGATTGTGGTTGATTAACGGTGTTATTATTGAGACTAATATAGTTAGTAGTACTTGACTTTATGGTTTTCTTGTTTAGGGCTAAGTTAATACTTTTCCAAGTATTCCTTATGTTATTCCTTTCTTTTTCCAAAGAAGTTACCAAATAGTTTTTGTTGGCTTCTCTCATAGTAACTGTCAATCTGTTACGATATTATTTGTACTTTCGTTATTAAACGCACTGGGGTTGTGTAAGTATTGTTAATATAATTTGTGTTTACGCCGTAAACCACTCGGTACTGCAAATTTCCGCCCAGCACTCAGGGTTGAAATTGGCTGTGCCACCCAGCACGGATTTTCCAAAAAATGAACTGAAATATTACTGAAAATTTAATTGTACCAATTCGATCGTATTTTAAGCATCAGAAAGCATTAAGAACTGTGCCTACTATGCTTTGTAATCCAAAAATTTACACGGCACTAAAATGGTCCTAGCTAGTACACTGGTTGTATTCATTTTCTTTGTAATACATGGGCCATATGTAATAATAGGCAAGTGATCACTTACATGTAGATCTGATAATATTTCAGATTTATGTGAAGCAATATCATTTATGAAAACATTATCGATCAGGGTTGCAGTACTGGATGTAATCGGAGTTGGTTATATCAATAAGTGAATGGAAAGTAAAAGAGTATAGTAAACTTAGTAGCTTGAGTGTTTGATTGTGAGTTTCAAATTTCAGCTGATCTATATAAAAATCCCCTTAACCCTAAAAGAGGCGGGTTATTTTGGCCCTTCTCACAGCTGGGTGGGGGGTGGATTTCATGTCCCCCCCATGAACTAGGCTGTACCATGATTTTTTTTTTTTGTAACTTGGCATACATGTAAAGACGCTCAATATCGGTGTAAATTTAAAGTTTGAACTCAGTTGGATGTATGGTTTTTGTTGTTATGGTTACTTGAAGTTACAAGTATACATGTACATGCACTGAGTGCCACAATGGAAAAAGTATGCATTTGTCTCAGAAAAATGGGTGCTGTGCCACAATAGTACGTTCGATTTTCACCAAATCAGTGTCAAAATGACTGCAGAGAGTTACTCTAAAACTCCTAAAGTCTCAGCTCTTGAAAAAGGCACTGCAATGATATAGGAAAAAATGTCAAGGGGGTGGGGAATTCTCCCCCCCCCCCAGCTCTTTTAGGGTTAACCCCTTGTAAGATGATGTATTAAAACTAATTATCTGAAAAATAATTACACATGATTCTTGTGTGTGTGAAAGTGTCTATTTACATGCGATCAGAGCTTTAGTGGTCTTTTAAGAGGCATGTTCACACCAAAGTCTGGAAGATCACTTTATATGTGATGTTCCAGTTTGAAGTGGTTTTAAGTTGCCTCTTCCATGGCCAATTTCTCAAACAAAGATTTCTCAAACTTTGTGCAGACTGGTTCCTAATCTCGACATGTGTCCATGCACATACACAGAGGTCATGACCTCTTCTGCAACAATAATATATGAATGGGATAAGTGCATGTAATTACCTCATTGGATGTGAAAATTTCTCCTTTCTATAAGAATTTGTGGATGCATATCTCAGCCGTAATGGCCATAAAAGAACCTGTACATAACTAAAACATTGGGAAAATACTTATCACTTTTGTTTCCTTGCATCCTTAAAACACTTCAATATTTGCGTACAAGTAAATTGCCTATTTATAATAAGGGCTGCGAACTTTAGGATAATAATAAAGTTGCTCTGCCAAGTTCAGTGGGCACATTTTTTTTTCAAGCTTAATACACAGCAGAATACCATATTTTGTGGAATAGAAACCACTACTCGTTGATTCTCACGCTTAAAATGTCTCTGCGGCATAGTCCACAAATTACAGTACCCACCAACTTGCATAGTTAATTTAACAGAAGTATAATTTGTGTCAACTGCTCATAAAGTCTGTTGTAAAAAAAATAGAGGAAGACGTTTGCATTTTTATCCATTTTTTTTTCTTAAGGTAGTAATAAGCTTTTAACCTCTGTCCTTAGAGTCGGTGTATGTGGTCGTTTTTGCCCATTCCATTTCTCCGTTCCAAATACTACTTAACGTTGAGTGGTAATTATTCCACTTTAGTCAGACAAAGATGTATCTTATGAAAGTTTGAAAAAGATAAAAGGTGTTTCCAATTCAATTGTTCTTGAATTTCTTTGCAGAGAAATTCCCCCACAACCTTTGTAATGTACAAATTCCGTAGTCTAATTAAGAATACACCTCCCTGATGTTGTCGAAATCATGCAGTGTGTTTTCAACACACACATGTTTGAGTGGCTCTTTTTCTGGCCAGAAGCATTGAATGCTTCATTTGCTTGGCTTCCCCAATGATAATGGACATGTGTGCTTCCGCCAAGCATCATGCTTATCATGCTTATGGTTCATCGACCATTTGACCCAGGGGAGGGCAGTACCCAAGATTTTCCATTATTGAAACAATAATTCCCAAAGGACGCACAGTCAGCTTCCATCCGGCAGCATTGGGAGGTTGATCAAGCCCAAGAATGACAGATATCCCCCAAGGAACTAACGACATTTTGTATCCTTGCAGTTTGGCTACAAGTAGGTCAAGTGGTACTACCCGTCAAATGAGGATGTGCCAATTTTACCCCTTATGTTGATTTTTATTGATTTTGCATATAGTTTAATGGAGGTTCTGGTAATTTAGTCCTTTATATTCCTTGCCTATCTGTGACACAGTGTATTGTGCACTGGTATCCATTTGTATCTCACAAGACAAACCTGCTTATGACAACAAATGGTATCATTTCTCTTGAAAACTGTACCGATTTCGAAAGATGTATTGCTAGATTATCTCGAACACTCTTTAAATCATCTAATCTGAGATTATATTTTCACACACCCTTGGATTAGGGGTCACAGGACCTTGATTTTAGCTACATTATCTCTGTTCTTTTGCCTAGTAATGTGATATTTCTGGAATTTTCTTTGCTTATGCTCTTGATTGTGTTGATTTCTATTTTGTTCATTTATAATGTATAAAATTACATTCAAAAGTATAATGTGATCCACCGTCTTTGGTATAGTGTAACCATGTCGTTTACAATTTTTTTTCGTTCCCCTGTCCTGCTAAAAGACCCTGGTAAGCTTTTTAATTAAATCGTAAAAGATATCTGCACAAGTGAGCAAGGGTACAGTACATAGTAGTTCCTGACCCACCCAAGAAAGCTCGTAAGTTTTTTTTCTGAGTTTAAAGTAATAATAAAATCTGTTGGGGAAGAAAAACTCTGAATAAAGAAACTAAGATTGCAATGTCCTTGATACAGTCGCATATGGTCATCATCTTTATTTGTCGAAGTTAAATACCCATCTTCCATAAATTTAGTTCTGCTTGTTCATAGCTCAGGTTAACCCACAGTCCTTTGGCAAGGAAACTCCACTGTTCTTTGTGTCGCCCACTTAATCCTCTCAAATTAGCCATTCTATGATATTCTTTTTTTTTTTTCAGTTATGGCAGATTGTCCACACACAATTGGCGTAGAATTTGGCACTCGGATAATCGAGGTGTCCGGCCAGAAAATAAAGCTACAGATATGGGACACGGCCGGCCAGGAGAGATTCAGGTAAAGTCCTGCGCCCAGTGCCGTGAATTGAATCATGAATATTTAAACAAGGAAGTTGGTGGATGGCAGACATTGATGGATTTGTTGTGAGCACTGGGGAAGTTGCTCAGTTCGCATGCATAAAGTGTATACATGCATTAAAGTAGGATATTTTTCAAGGTTATTCAGACACATCACTGAGTTGGTTTGGGAAGCCATGGGCGAGTGAGCCAATGTGTATTTCCAGCTGTGAATCAGCAAATCAGCAGTGCATGCTAATGATAATCATATGCTTATACAATGTAAGATTTGCAGCTGTTCGTCATGCCTGTGTAAAAGCCACATTTTATCTCCTATATCCGCACTGTCCCACAGTCTGTCCCAAATTTCTTGTCTAGAGCCAGGTCTAAGTCTTCGCTCCATTGGAAATGTATGGAGACGCGCAGACAATAGACCTAGCCATAGCTCTGGAAGCTTGGTTCGGACACGGCCAAGGACTCATTTATATGAGTAGTCTGGGGTCGTCCTGTGTCAAATTACGCAGCATCAAAGGAAAAACATCTAAATCACAATGTCATGCCCAGTCAGTGAATACCAAGCGTGGTGCATATATCTTCAAACGTTGTTGTTGCTGCCTTTCAAAGTTTGGGCGGCAAGTCTTTTATTTACACATGGGAGGGTCTGTGAATTGAAAGTTGAAACAGTTCCCTGTGCTATCAATCCACTCATTTCCCATTGTGTCTTTCCTCAGAGCTGTGACAAGAAGCTACTACCGGGGAGCCGCTGGTGCCCTGATGGTGTACGACATCACAAGAAGGAGTACATACAACCATCTCAGTAGCTGGTTGACGGACGCCAGGAATCTTACCAACCCTAACACAGTGAGTCATATATGGAGACACACATAGATACCAGGGATGAGATTTTTCCACTTTTTGGCAGATTCCCGCTTTTGGGACTTTGACAATTCGCTTTTGCAAATAAGTTCCGCCTTTTTAGGTATTAGATATGATAATATTGAGCCTCAATTTGCTGTGAAATGAAATGAAATTGCATTTCCCGTTGCTTACTTTCCATGTGTCACGTCATTTTTATTTCGTCCCAAGAATATCAAAATCGTATCGACCACGGAGGGCACTGTTTTGGGCCATGCATGCTGTACCTTCATATGTAGTTTAGGCACACGCTGTAAACGTACACACAGATCTGAACCGGTACCAGGCTAGAACAGGGAGATAAGATAAAGTGACACATTCCATTGGCTCTTTTCGCTCACAAAAACCAATACCGACCAATAACCATCTCTGTAGGAAATGTGTTCGTTTCCAGGTAACTGTCGGTGTCACAATCGCTCTGATAGGCTTATTTTCATGATGCATCCTCATATAAGCCAATGACTGTGCACTTTTCATGCTACTCACCACATGTACGAGTGTATAGACTGCCACGCAAAGCCACTGCGCCTGGTACCCTGAATAATTTTTGTGTGTTATCACAGAAAACCATACCATAGACGTTTCTTATCGTTACATTTCCATCATCATGTCTGCCCTTAAAGACATCATTTATCAAGAAGAAGGAGAGGTGAAGCACATCGACGAAGGGATTAAAATTCCCAGCGATGGGAGTGGATTGAGGCCAAAATAGAAAGAGTGTTCTTGTCCGAATTTATTTGGAAATTGACAAAACCTGGTAAGGCTGTGGTGCGATGTAACATTAGAAATTAATTACACTTCCCAGGGCAAAAATGCCTTAACAGCAAGTGCAGAATCGTTGAAATACAACAGCGAACTCTAGACTTGGAAAACAAATTATCGTCTGTTAGGTACACGTGAACATAATTGACTTGTATTTTGAAGCACTTGACAAACCATAAGTGATGAACAAAACTATGTGGTGGGTCTTTACATGTATAACACATATCAAGTTAACAAATAATAAAAAGGTTAGGCTAGGTTTGTCAGAGTATGGACTTTCACAAATGTATCTATTGTAAAATGTGTCCCGGAGGGGTCTACCACAGATCATCTAAAGTTGACCATTTTCCTGGGGCCCGCGTGCCGTAAAGGCGTTCGCGCTGCACGCAGTCAAATTCCAGCTTTTTTCATTTTCTGAGAATCTCCCCCCAGAGTAAAAAGGCAGAGAGCCACACACGTACATACACGTGGCCTTCAAGCTCCCTGCATGAACAAACTTTGAAATGGACAAGAGCCTAGCCTAGATTGCCAATCTGCCTCAAGCAGAAGCAGCTCCTTATCAGTTGAAAGAGCCCTGTTTTGTTGGTAGCGATGTGACCGTGATATGTGCATTTCCTAGTTGTTCATGAACCAGCGAAGTTCAGGAGCCTCCGTTGCTAAAAATAGCACCCTCTCTTTGTCCAGCTTGAGGCACATAGATCAGGTTGATTTGATCTACAAGAACAATATGGTCATAGAATGTCTTTGATTTGTTCACATTTATGTCCAGTCAGTTTAAAAGATGTTGCCTTCTCTGTTATTCCAGAGGATGTGAAGTTGATGGATTTATTCAGTTCTCTCAATGCCATGCTTAAATGTTTTGAGATATACATTGCTTAATAAGGCATACACTTGCACATTTAGCAGTTGTACCTTCATGACATCGGCGATACCAGTCCTGCACTATATTCAAAGTCATGGGTGTGCAGTTAGCACTTTTCCAATTTATAACAACCTGCTAGCCTCTTGTAAGTTCACCCTTACACCTGTGTCCTTTTTCCTACATTCTGTTGCGTCAAGGTGATCTTCCTGATTGGTAACAAGTGTGATCTTGAAGCCCAGAGGGACGTCACGTACGAAGAGGCCAAGCAGTTTGCAGAGGAGAATGGCTTATTATTCCTAGAAGCTAGTGCAAAGACGTGAGTATACTCTTCTCCGAAGCAGAATGAAATGCCAGAACATTTAGTTGTTGGAAGTGTTGGTCGATGGAAGTAAGTTTTTCTCAGCACAAGTGTGCGTATTTTGATTTGGAATAGTGCACATGGAATGTTTGCATATGTTATTCCTTTGAACTGACTGTTTTCAAGGCCGTTTTCAATACTCAACTTCGTCTCCGTCTCAGGCTTCGTTCCCAAAACCAATCCCCGATTGTGGGCCTGAAGCATTTAAATTAAATTGGATTACTGTAATTTTTGGCTTTTTTGCATCTTATTTGATGTTCTGTGGCACTATTAGACTGATTACTGTGCTTACAGCTTCAAAGTCAGCTAGTAAAAAACAGTTGAAACCTGAGACGGAGCCGAAGTTGAGTATTGGAAAATGGCCCAAGCCTCATACCTCTTTTGAGGATGATTGTTCAGATTAGGGTTTCTGTAAGTTTATTCATTTATTTGAATTTATTTTCAGGCTTTGACTTGTTTGATCTGGCCACTTCTATTGATGTAATAGTTTCAACATTTTTCACCAAACCACCTTGCCCTCTTTGACATTTTCTCTGCCCAAGAGAAGGCCATGACGCAGTACTAGAAATGAAAACCTGTTCATTTCTCTCTTCTTGTGATTGTCTTCTTTGCAGAGGAGAGCATGTAGAAGAGGCATTCCTGGACACAGCTAAGAAAATTTATCAAAACATTCAAGATGGAAGGTAAGAAGTTAATGTTAGTCTCTTCATAGTTGCTTGCTTTTGCTTTCTTCACAACTGTTATTTGTTACTGTGAGAATTACTCTTATCCAACAATTTGGTTCCAAGGTTCCAAGTGTTGAATAGGCTGACAGATTTACTGTACTGTATCACTAGAACACAAATGAAGTTACTTGCATTGCAGAAGTAGTTGGATGCTACAACTTTGCCGTTTACCAGGCCCATGTTGATGGTTGTTCTCCCCCCCCCCCACAGTTTGGATCTGAATGCAGCCGAATCGGGAGTACAACACAAGCCGGCCGCACCACGGGGGAACCAACTCAACACAGACCAGCCACAGAATAAAGAGGGTTGTCCATGCTAACGATCGTCTCCCGTAGAACCATCACTTCTCTTCGGCTTTCGGCCAAGTCTCTTTTTTTCCTGATGCTGCTGAGTCGGAAGACGAAAGCCCTTTGGTGTTGTGTCTCATTTTAAGAACTTTTTCAAGCAAAAACATGATATAATTTTCCCCAAACGACCGGATGAACTGGAAAAGATGACAAAGGGTGTGGACTGATTATAAAAGTCATGTACACGTATCAGGCTTTGACAGAGATTGTGCAATGGTTTTCCGTGCGTCTCTTCTGACAAATGCAGCCCTCCAACTTTGTTGTCCAAAAGTACAAGAAACTGAAGTGAGAAGAAAGATGAATTTTTGGCACAAAGAAAAAAAAAAGTCTTAAAAACTGACGGCTACCAGGTAAGCGTGCAGGGCTGTACATAATGTTTGTGGTTGCTAGCCATGTTGGGTTCAGTATTAGACTAGTGTTGATATTTCTAATTAGCATTTCATTTTCCGCCAAGCAGCGTCAGGAAAAAAAATGAAGTTTTTCCTCTTCCCTCTGTGGGTGGCACACATGGAGAACCTGGATTCTGTGTAAGAAATAGTCTGTTTGTAATAAGTGGTACTGTGTATAAAAATGTCTTTATTGATACGTTCCGTGATCCCTTTTATATTGTTATATTATATAAATATATATTTCATTTATCGCATTTTAAGTAGGCTGCACTGATGAACATGATTCTGAAGAGAAACCAAATGCAGTAATGTTTAACGATGCCACTCAGTGCTTAAATACTGAAAACGGTAAACATTTACCAACTGTTACACCCAGATTGTTGCGAAAAGGGCGAATCATTGTTTGCGAATGTTAAGCAAGTTTAGTGCACTTAGAAAGGGTTCTGTACAGGGCTACAGACAGGGCTACATTAGCATTTCTGTGAGAAGTGTCCTCGTGACTTCTGATTTGGACAGAGCATATTGAACACCAACATTCTTGAACTAGTTCGCTCCTGTGTTTGTGGTGATTGTTCCAAAATCATATTTGTCACTTTACTGGGGCTACAGACATTTCGCTTATTGTTTTGTTTGCCTTTTGGACCAATTTATGATTCAGGCTTTTGGTTTTCTGCGTTACACAGACAAGAACACATGGAGATCAGTTTAAAATGATACTCATTTTTGGGAGACAAAGCAAAGTACAGTGTCGAATGCAGAAACTTTTTTTTGTAAATGAAAGTTGGGGATCTAGCATGCATTTGTGTATGTACATGTATTTTCCCTGGTCATAAGCATCATTTGATGTGAAATGTAATTTTGGGGGGTCTTTTTCAAGTGCCAACTTGTACGTTTTGTATTATGAACGTCCGTTTTCTCTCTTCTTTCTTACATTTATGGACAGGAGATACAAAACCCGCAGGATTTGTATAAAAACGCTAGAAAAACCAATAAATCTATGATATGGATTACATTGTAACCACCATCAGCCACCTGTTAATCGTCCAATTCAAGTACAGTTTGGAGGCCCAGTTGTAACAGTGCAAGTATTGTGCTTGCTGTTACTCCTAGTGACTGACCACCGGGGGCAGTCATAGTGTTTCTACTATGACAAGATCCGGCCATCTCCAAATTATTTGGCTGCGGCTTGAAATTACACACGAGTCGATGACGGCTGCACAGCCACTACCTTTAGAGTCCTGCGTAATTTTGAGCTGCGGCAAAGTAATCAGGACATGGCCTTGGGCATGGAAAGTAATACCAGGTTACCAACCAAAATAGCATGTAGTGTGCATTGCAGCAGTGCTACAGCAAGTGTAGCAAATTTTCAACTTAGAGTACATGTACACAGACCTATGTTGTGTTTGGACTATGAAGAGGAACACACCGATGTGGCCTCAACTACTGTTGATCGTTGACAGCTTGAACAATCATTGTACAGACATTATAACAGTAATCATTTTGTCTGTTTTAATTGTTACTTAGTAACTTTGTTGTGACATGTACGCTAAGGAATACAATCTCTGTGATTGAAGTTACCTATTTCTTTTGTCGTCAAATCGCACCAGGTTGTGAGAAAAGTAGGAAGGAAATCACATGGTTGAAACTTGAAGCCATCTCGAAGGTGCCTAATCTTCAACATTTTCTCAGATGCGAGTCTAAAGTTGATATTCACCCAACCTCATTGTTGGATTGTGTTCCTGTGCAAGTGTTCCTGATTGAAAAGAACTCTGACAACTTTCACGTTGATGCTAGTCAGTTAGTGGCAGTCATGACAAAGTGTGCAATCATCAATGGATGTACATAAGTAAAAAAATGATTTTCAGCAGACAGAACAATCTCCTGTTTTCTTGGTCACCGCAGAACTTTAAGTAAAAGCACTGTCTTCACATAGATTTTTTATCCTTTTATTTTGATTTCTCAAACTTTGACGCTCTACCCGATGGCCTGGTAGATTTTCAAGGCCGTTTTTGTTTCAGCGACAAGCTTATTCACTTCACAAAAGGTAGAAAAAATTCACTAGAAGTCTTCCGGGAAGAAGTAGGTTTTGCAACTACAAGGGCAGTTTAAAACATGTCATCTTGATCATACAAATTTAATAATCATAAATCTTGGCACAAGTAATTAACTAGATCCAATTGCTTATTCATTTATGCAGTGTTCGTGGTTTTTACTCCAAAGACTTGCATAAGTGCACTACAAACGTCTAACAAAAGAAACACAGTTCACTAACAATAAGCATCCATTGTTATTGCACCGTACTTCTTCTGTTAGATGTTCGCAGTGGTGGGAAGTCTTGTGCCTAGCTCAGTGTATTGTAATTTTGTTGTTTGGGGTGTTTTGCAAGGAAGAAGGACAGGATATTGCTTAGTTGAACTTTATACTCCAAAACATTAGAGCTTTAAATTCTAAATGCACTTGTCATCTTTGCATTTCTAAGTACTTTTATAATGCTGTTGCATGTATTCTTTATGTGAGATACATGGAACTTATTTCTTAAGTTAATTAATTTGGCATATGAATTCGACAGTCACCAACATTCCTCTATTCAATAGAGTTTCTATTGAATATTTATTAACTGTTTCAATTTCAGTGCACATAAAGTTTGTTGGAGCAATTCTTTATAGATTCTCGTGAGTATTACCTAAAAAAATACTTCAGCTGACAGTTCACAACCTCTATCCCAGTCTGTATATGATAATTCAGTGCAAAATTACAGGAACTATAAGCACCCCCGTAAAAGTCAGCAGCACAGGTGAGGTCAACTAACAGTTAAGGCTAGGTCATAAAGTCATGGCTGTGGCTAAGAACATCATGTGTTTATTGAAGCCCCTGGTGCACTGCATACTGCAGCTACATCTCATACTCGTAGCCACAGTCAGTTGATTCAGACACTGTCCAAGGTCCCACAAGTTTGTTTTGTGTGGTATGTGTTTCTTTATCATGTAGATGAATCAATAGGGCAGTTTAGCATTATCGAGAATCACCAAACCACTTGTCTTGTATAAAAAAAGTAAAATCTAATGAAATTGCATAACTGTACAGATTTTTTTGTAAAGTGTACATGCCCACACAAAGAATAGCAAAAATGTTACAATGTTGGTGTGCTTTGTGATCTAGAAAATGTTATCAAGACATTTATGGGTTTTTAATATTTTTTCATCCTTTCTTTCCCCTCGTATTAACCGGCAGCCATTTATTTTTGACACTAGTGAATGAGGATTGTAGGCTGCACCAAGTTGTCATGGCTGAGGCTGACAGTAGCACACGTGTCTATGAGAAGTGGCTTACAGTCACTAGCCAGTGACTTCCATAAGCGCGTGTATGTTGCATGTTGCAGCCAAGGCTTTCAGACGAAACCAGAATGAGATGTAGCTGGTCAGGTCCGAAGCAGTCTGGTGCCTGTGATGTGGCAAACCATTGTCCTCCTCACTGTGTCTTCAGGGAACATGACATGGATTATAGTAACGTAGAAGAAACACTTTTTGTACAACTATTTTCCTCAGAATTCAACTGTAACAAAATCGAGTAGTTTTTGGATCTTCCCCTCCCTGTCCTGTGTGAACCTCTATATTATTTATTACACTGGGTTCATTTGTGTGTCATTGTCAACTAATTGTCAGTATAATCAGCAATGCCTAACCTGCCAACACATTTCAATTGCCGCATTGTTTTTACTATTGACTTGCAGGCATTACAATATCTTGTACAATGTAAATTGTGGATTCAGAGATAAGTGAATAATAAATTGCTAATTGAAGATGTAAGAAGCCATAACAAAAAATTCTGCTTTGGTAGGTCGTTATTAAAGTTGTGTTTTTATCCACTCTGTGCATGACCAGTTGAGGGCACTGTTTATCAAGTCTCAAATTATGTGGAGAGGGCATTTCACTGGTTTCCTGGGTCTTTTAGTCTATTGTTAACATGTAGGAATTGATAAGCATCAGGGAAACTTCACCTTAACTGAGACTCAAAATATTCATTCACACATCTTTAATCTGCGTCTGCTGTCAACACTGCAACAATGTAAATATTACAGTGACTCAGAAGGAAATACCAAAAAGCAAGACAGCAAATAAGGCAGTTTATTTATTTTATTCATGCTTTCTGTGATGTGTGTGCATGCTGCCACTCATACAAGTAATAATGTAATGGTTGTAATGGTGGTGTATTTTCTGTGCGTGATCAACCTGTAGAATGAATTAGAGTAAAACATTTCAAACCGTCGTTTTTACAATCCAAAAAGCAGCGCAGTCAGATGCCATGTTGGAAACCCAAAACGAGATGAAAATATTAAAATCGTGAATCTGAAAAGATGAAACATAAACAGCACAAGTTTAAACAAACAAACAGTGCACAGCAGCAGTGTGTTGGAAAGAAAACCAACCTCGCTCCACATTCTTGATTTGGCATGAAATCATGCCGAACAAAATCAAATTGTATGTGCTTGAACCCTGTTATTGTGAGGTAAACCAAGTTTCATCCTGAATTCAGAGAATTGATTTGACCATGTGGATTTAGATAAGGAACTTAAAGAACTTAAATCCATTCAGAACACCTAATCCTTTGAGGATTTTGTGATGCCGCGAGTACAAAACATTTACAGAATTTTGGTCATGATTATTGAGAATTATTTACATCAGTTTTGTTAACTTGAATCAGCAATATATACATTTCTTGCAAAATAAATTTACAAATCATCCTTTCTGTAAGCACATGAAGTAATCAATTTGATTTGGAATTTATTCCAAATAATCCCCCTTGCGTACTTCAAAACACTTGCAGCCAAAAAGACTGAAACCTGCCAAAAAAACAAAAACAAAAAAATCAGTCCTGAGGACTCCCGACCTCGTAAAGAAAAATAAACAAGCACACAATTTGGTTGCTTAGAACAAATACTCCTGCATACCTACTGATAGCTGCAAAACTTTCCACAATGGTAATGCCTTTTTTAACCCCCAAAAGATTTTCCATCAGTTAAAACAAAGCACCTGTACATGGACGGAATTGTATAAATGCATTTGGCAAAAATGTTTTTTCTTATAAAAAAAAGTTGTTGCCTTTAATTGTGCATAGTTTCTAATAAAAAACAGTGAAAGTAATAATTAAAATCCAATGTTACTTTTCAGCATAACAGGAATTTGAAATACACGAAGTAAAATTATTCAATGAAATGGATCAGTAGTAATCAACTTAATCGACTTAAGTTCGTTTTAAAAATTGTTTTTAAAAGTGCAATGATATCATCAAGCTGTAGGCTCACTGTCAGTCTGGGACGCCCTCTGTTGACAGTACATTCAGTAAAGAAATGTTCTCCATACGTGTGTACAGTATTTGGACAACCTCCTCGGGATTTTACATTAGCTATAAGCTAGTCTAGGCGGTGACAAAGTACAACTAGGGTCACAGATTTTTTTTAATATAACTGTCTTTAAAATAGTTCTCAATATTTTCATGATCCAACTTCCTAGTCAGTATTACTGCAAACTTCAATTGGTGTCAGTACTTAATTACTGTCTTGAAAAAGATCTTTGAAATGATCAGTTATGTAGTTTTAAATTTTTATCGCAAAGCAGTATCTGGGTTTTTTTTTTATATCTTAGAATTATTTAAGCTTTCTTTATAGTAAATCAGCAACATGAGTCTCACCAATCTAAAGGGGAGTAACTTGTACTAAGGTCAACTTGTTTTACCTTCCACTCTTCATTTTCACTTTGAAATAATTTGGATATCTACAGAGGGCACCCCAAAATGTACCACATGATCACAGGTCAGATGTCGTAGTGACGAGATTTATACTTCTACACGCTTCCCATGACCCAGCGATGATTAGCAAGACGCCGTCGCATCCTGACAATGGAGGAGTCCACACTAGCCCCAGCATTCTTATGTCGTATGTCGTCCTGCAGACGGTTGTTAGCCATTTGAAGCATGGCGATGTTGCGGCTTGTTGTCAGTAGAGACTTATCCAATCCAGCAGCACCCTGGAATCGGCAAAAAAAACAAACTTTCCCATCATCAGAAATACAGTCTGCATGTATTTCTATTTCCGTTTTGATTTCCTTGGGCAAAGGCACCTTTATTCTCTGATAATGAAATACGATTATGTTTTTCTTTCAGAAAATCATTTCTTAAAATCAAAAAAGTTAGAAGCTATTTCAGGATAAGATTCAGCCATGGTTTGCTTGAAATCAAATGAATTTCATGTATTTATGACTCATTAATTGTTAGCCAGGCTTTCTCTTGTACTAACTCACTGAACACCTATTAACTTGATGATGGATAAATTAAAGCAATGAGCAAAAAAACAATCTATAACCCGAACCCCCTCAGGTGTATGTAAATCATTTTGAAATCTGAGATGTATGCTTCATAGAAACCATGAAATGTGACTTTGTTGATGACTAACTCATCACTTTTAAAGTCCCATTAAGAATATAATCGTGAATGAATGGTCCCACTAACTCTGATGATGTCTTGGGCCTCAGGCAGGTTGGTCCCCGGGTGACGTTGATACACGCGAACAAGCGGCCGGTCCAATCTCTCTCTCATCTCCAGATCTGACTGCATCTCCGGCCCCACGGTGTAGTAACGAGCTCTTTCCGTCGAGTCGTACCAACGCTGGGAGCGATGAATGGCATGACGGTTCTCGCCAGCTGCCACTGTCAGGTGTTGCTAGGTGACAGGTTGAGGAAAAAAAAGTCCAACATCAAAGTCATTTTTCTCTTCAGGAAGGTGTCTTTGTATGACAGAGGAAATGCACATATGCCTTTTCTGATTTTTTTTTGTTTGCATGAGGAATCTTGCATAAGGATTTGAGTTTCTGTTTCACTCTTAAAGTATGGTGTCTATGTAACATTTCTATTTAATATTGTGTCTTTAATCTTAAACTTATAGAGATACATGATAAGTAAACTTGATCAAGGTTTGAACAGATGCATCTTTTTAAAAAGAATCCCCCAGTGTTCATATCTATTAATAGTTTCATTATTCACTGTGTTGTTTCAATTTTAATATGAAGCAGACTTGACAGTCATGTACTTGCACAATTCCAGCAATCTGAAAAATTTGCTTTACTTTTCTCTCAGGGATGAACGTCAAACCAAGACATTTTTCTCCATCATCCAAAAACCTACCCGGAGTGTGATGGTCTCGGCCACTTTCTTGTTCATCCCGCTGTTGACAGCTTTGTGAGCTGTCTCCTGCAGGCGTTCGGTATTTTCAATCGCGTCGCGGATCTCGCGTCTCAAGCCCATGGACCGGTGGCGAGCTTCCCTGGCTTGGTCGATGGCAGCGGAGGCCTCTGGGGTGTATGGTCCCAGGGGGTCAATGGGCAACTCATTCGAGTCCCCATCCCCTGCGTCCAGCTTGCTGGACCGCCCACCGTTGTTGGCGTTCATGTTCTGGTCAATCTGGCGGGTGTAGCCCAGACCGTTGGCGCCAAAGGTCATGGTCACACTCTTTTCCTGGCGTGAGTGGCGACCGTTGTTGCGCGATGCCCGGCCATTGGTGACAGAGGACACAGCATGGCAGATGAGGTCAAGAACCCGGTTGCGTTCTTGGATGACAGCATTCAGTCTCTTGCGTACTTGATCAAGAATCTGCAAAATTAGACAAAAGTTGACATATAAGACTCCTTTTTAAAAGTACATGCAGGAAATACCTGCCTCATAAGTCATAAGCTGCAAACAAGAGTTCACACATCTTTACTTTATCTAAATGAGCAGTATAATTATTCATACATATTTATGAGCTAATGAACTATTCTCGTTTGGTCATTTGGTCAACATCCAAATATATATCCATCTGGCCTTGTGGCATCAGTCCATCTGTCTGACTTTGTCTAATTCACATTGGTTGTTTACCTGTAGCTGTTTCTGCACCGATCTCAGCTGTGCCTCTAGTGCTTTTTTCAGCTGCAGCAGATGGCGTAGCTCTCGATCAAGCAAAGTATCAGCTCCATCACGCTCCTTGAAAAGACAATAAACAAAGACAATCAAACAACATGATCAGTTGTTTTGTCACACTAATGAACAACGGGTGAGATTTTGACTGAATATGTAATAGGACACAAGTTTGGGGAACTGAGTCTAAAAGTAAAGATTTAAAGTTTAGAATTTTTGGTGCCCACTTTCAGGTTACAATATTAAAAATTTGACCAAAAAACTGGATTCATAAGCCACATCTAGTAGTTTGAATACGGCCATTTCACAATAGTGCGCAACCAATATTGTTGGAACACGTTAGCTAATCACAATGCACGAAATTTGTCGACCCAATGCGCACTTGGAAAGGGTTGACAAATTTCGCGCGTTATGATTGGCCATTGCGTTGCAAACTCTTGGTGGCGCACTATTGTGAATTGCCCGTATTGGTGATGTTTTTTTGATGATTCAATTTCTGGTACAACTATACTCATTAACATGCATAAAAGATCCATGATACATGCATAATGGCCCATTACCATTTCAAATAACAGTTTTTGTTTTGCCTGAAAATGAAACAAGATATCAATTTGAATCTAAACAAGCCGTAGTGTTAAACAAAGCAGTGAAAAAGACATCAATGAAAATGAAAGAAAATGCAGACTTTATCAGAACCTTGAAAGTTTTTTTAACCTCGGTTGTTTAGAAGGCATTTGTCAATGTATCAATACATGGACCTTTGGACCTCTCCAAAGATTTTTGAGTAATCCCCAAAGTACTGTTCATATCTAGGTAGATTGTGATCGCTCTAGCTCGTGATAAAAGCAGTCAGGTTGTGGAGTCATGTGATTAATGCCTCAAAGCTTGTACGATACCAAGTAACTTTAGAGATGTCTGGGTTCATTTTCTGAAAAATTGGGTGAAGCAGTTGGTCATACCTACTAAAATTAGCTTAGGACATTAATTGCAGACATCATTATAAAATGAAATGACCATGAGATACACTGAATTTCTTTTTTGCATCTATTAAAATTGTGCTCCGTATTGCATGTGTGTGGATTCATTGTTAATGTGAGTTTCAGTGTATGTGTACCTAATACAGATTAATTCATTTCAAAGAGAAAGAAAATATCTAGTGTTGGTAGAAAAATAATAGAAATTATCTGTGAAAACTGTAATCTCTAAAACAGTACATGAAATATACATCACCTTCAAGTAATTTTTTAAATGTAAAACCATTTACAAACTTCAGCCCTATGAAAAAAAGTTGAAAAAGGAAACTGTTTTGGTCGACCCCCCCAAATATCTAAATTCATTTCAGATGTAAGTCAGAGGAGATGAACTGAACTATTAATTGGGGTTGGAAGTTGAGGATACACAGGTATCTGTTTACTTGAACAAATATTTCCAACATCAGATACATAATCGGTCGGTGCTCCCTGAAACGCTCAAAGAGGATTCTGCTAACCTAGTATTGTGTTGCTAGGTTTCAGGGGTCAGGCATCTACGTAGCTCCACCATAGTATCTCATTGAGTAAATCAACAATATTCAGTGGAGAGTCCATGAATATTTTATCTTCTGACTGGCCATCTGAGGGCCCTACTTCAGTGTATACACTCTCTCATAGAAGAGTCAAAGATACTGCTTGTTTATTTTGAAGTTTAATTTGAGCCACCATTGCTGTTCACTGGAACTGAACATGTTGCTCCTCAGAGAATCAAATCAAATGAATTTGTTCATCTGGTAATTGATGCTATATCATATGAAAATATTGCCATTTAGGGAAGTCAGGAGAAGGCAGGCAAAGACAAGAAAGTAAACCATTGATAACAATGACAGAACAAGTTTGGGATTATGATAATTATGTATGACATATGTCAATTAATTTTTGTTGATTCACTCTAATTAGTCAAGCCAGTTAGAGAAAATTTCAATGTTGATGCTGACTAACAACGATTTTGATGACAATGACAATTGTGAAAATAGTGAAGTTATATTATGGAGAAATACGAATATGGAGAAACAATAAATTATTTTTTTTCAATGAAAACTTTTAACTAAAGTATTGTAATGATAAAAATCAACAATGTTTTCCATGAATCTCACCCTCTCTCTTCCTGGCCGGGTGCAGCGAATCTCTGTACTCATTTTGTTCAGACTGATGTCCTTCCGTATGTGCTCAAGCTTTTTCTCCAAAGCCTCTTTGCCGCGAAGGAGACATTTGATCTCCTCATTAGTGTCCAAAAAACTCTCCCTGAGTTTCACCAGGACTGCCCTGGTTTCTCGGACGTAGGAATTGACCACGGTGTTGCTCTGCTGGGCACAGTTGTCACGGAGGGAAGGCAATGGGTCTATCGAGCGGCCCAAGTCCAGCCCCTTATCACTCCGGTCGACGGTGGACTGCGAAACTTTGATTTCTTTGATGGTAGATTCTCGCCAATTTGCTGGGCCTACCGTGGCTGTGGCCACCGGTAGTTGAGTCCTTGTACGTGTGGCCATCATTGTGAACAAAATAAGCTATATTTGTGACTTTATTCTGGCAGTTGTTGGGGTAAAAATTCCGGATTATGAAAATAAGTCAAGGGCCACTCTTTCACACTTGTGGACATGTGATAATAGCGCGCTTCGTGTGTGACCTAGCGTCTGTGTTGCTAAGGTGGACTGGCGAGGTTGTCATGGACGTCGGTTATGCATAATGCATAACCGGGGGACAGTTCACAATTATCACTGTGTTTGTATTGGCTCCTGATTGACCTGAACATGCATAATCATTAAGATGTACGCTCAAATTTGCTGTTTAAAAATTCTCTGCAAAAGTATCACTGTGATAATTGACAAATTAATATTAGGTGATCAACATCTTTCACAAGAAGTAGTAAACCTTTTGGAAGTAAATTTATTTGTCATTGTTATTTAGTGATGTATGACTTATCAGACATGAAGTTATATTAATAATGATAATTGAAATAATTATCAACTTCCGTTTTAGGCGCTTCAATAAACTTGCGACGTTCGGTCCGAACCTCTTGAACTTTGGTAACCGCCACCTGCGCTATCCAGAAACAGACACACGACCTCTGTCAGATATGAAGCTGTGAAGCAAAATTTACAGACATTAATATAATGGTGAACTTGATCAGAGTGGCAGATTTTAATTGCCCAAAATCCATACTTTCGTGTGGCGAGAACTTGAAAACCCCTCACAGTTGGATCGAAGATAAAATGATCATGTCACCACATAAAAGGCTTTTACAGGAAAGAACTTAAGAAGCTGAAAAAATGTTACCGTGAACAAAATTATTTCTAGCTCCATGTCAACTTTTTTGTTCGAAGAGAATTTCACACACCATTTTCTTCAACAGTATTTCTGATAAATACAAAAATCAAGCCTACGTATTTTGTATGAATATAAAGTGCGTCACAACACTTCTATGGAGTGGGTTCAAAAACTTTTGCTTGTCATAACTTATAAACTGGCATGCATTCCTATGTTTTCGGGTCATTCAAGGTGATAAGATGACGTCATATTGGGAGGTGGTGGTTAGCAAGGTCAACTGGTACTTGGCGTAATGTAAGATTGTGGTTGTAAGATGAGTTACCAGTGAACAACCGGCGTAGTCGTGCAGCCGCATGAACCAACGATCCCGTGCCGGCCGCGCTGTGTACGTAGACTGCACACGATACGATATGATGCGTGCGACGAACGAAAACATTAATTTGAATGGCGACGCCGGCGGTGTGTAATGTACTGAGAAAAATGTCGCGAGTGTGAGCAACTTTTCATTATTTTTCGTCAAGAACCAGAAGCTGACACGCTGTTTTCTCATCTAGTCGGTGTGCACGAGGGCTTGTCGACATGAGTGGGGCGGTCATACCGCAGTGGAAGATCGCTCTCCAGCAGAAACTGGAGAAGAAAAAGGAGGAGGAAAGACGGAAGTTGTTGGAGGAGGAACAGCGCCGCCTGGAAGCGCTGCCTCCGTGGAAGCGAATGGGGATGGTTCCACAAAATGTCATCATCATCTCAGGGGGAACCAAGACAGTCAGCAAGTTGTCCTCCGATTCAGACTCTACAGCTGGTGGTGAAGAAGTTCAAAAGGAATCTCGTAAAAGTAATACTGACCAGGCCTCGAAGGTGACAACGAACAGGACGGTGAGTGACAGTAGGATAAGTGTGAAGAAGAGCGCCATGAATGCGCAGCCTCAAGAGAACCATGTGGTGAGTTCACAGAAGGAAAGTCATTTGACTAATCATGTAGGGGGAGACGAGCCAGATGGAGCCAAGATGACACCTGTCACAGGGCGAGAGGGCGTGGACGAAGAACATGTTGCTTCTGTTTCAGAGAATCCTTTCTTGAAGCTTGATGGCGGCGCACGACGAAGGAGAGCTTCACCGTTATTAAAACTTGACATTAAAGAAAAAGAGAGTACTTCCAAAATTGTAGAAAATAAAACCACAGATTCCATGATTGTGGTCAAAAAGCAACCAGACAATAACATACGACAGCGATCGCGGTCAGCAAGCCCACACCGTGCTGCTAGAGAACAGAATGTAGATTTAAAAGCAGTCGAGGAAGACTTGCCTGAACGCAGGCCCAGAAAAAATAGTGTCAGTGATTTAAGGAACAAATTTGGTCGTGCTGCATCCATTGAAGATTTAAGAGTTGTGTCACGTAAAGCAAGTGAATCAGAGAGTACTTCTCCATTGCTGTCACCACGGAGTCCTACAGCTCTTGACAGGCATAAACTCTTTGATGATCAGCCCCACAAAGTTCACTTTAATTTCACACCCGACTCGTCAAGGAAGCTGGCTCCAGCATCATCGTCAAAAGTCTCCATGACAAGCTCCGTCACATCTGATAAAATGCCTTCCACACAACCACAAGCCCAGAAAACTGCTGTCACAGGAAGTGCTCTCAGCAAACCATCTGAAACAAACTCACTCACTATCACTGAAGCTGGCATTGCACAGATATCAAGTACCAATCGCACCACCAAACGTCAAGCTCCAAAGGCCCCAACAGCTTCAGACTCCAGTGCGAGTACTAAGAAAGACATAGCACCAACAAAAGCAGTTACCTCATCCACTTCAAGTTCAACTAGTAGTGCAATGAAACCTCTTAGTAAAGACTTACAGAAAAGCAATAAACCCGTGGAATCTTCCAAAAACGTCACGATGACCAATGAAGTATCATTGCCTGACCAACCCAAGACTGCAATCCTCGGCGATGGACAGTCGTCCTTGCGCCGAAAAAAGGGCACAAGTAGAATGTCTGCTAGTGCACTGATCAGTCTTTCAGGTGATGGCACCAGTGATGTCCAACTAAGCGAACACAATGCGCGTGTCCGTGCCGCCCGACAAGAGGCACGGGCAAGCAGCTCAAAGAATTCACTACGATCAGCCAGGGACAGTGAATCCAAGGACACTGACAGTATACCAAAGGGCCTTGTGTCATCAAACATGTTCGGGTCAAAACTAAAAACGCACGACAACAAAACACCATCATCAAAACCAAAAGAAGACCCCCCATACGTTGACTCTATCCCCTACCCAGAAAATTTCCGGCAGCCAAAGAAAGAGTCCGGGTATGTTGACACAATCCCATACCCGGAAAACTTTCGTCAGCCAAAATCTACCAAGCCAGAAGCATCTGAGATCAAGGCTCCCACAGTCCAACTCAAGGCCACTTCCAAAACATCAACCGTGGAGGACATTCCACGGACCAACATTGACGACATGGTCCTTTCCCCAATTAAAGAAGATGCTTCTCAGAACTTGACCAACGGGAGTGTTGAGACAAAAGCACCCCCCAAGAAAATCAAGAAGAAATTGGAAGTGGAGTGGATAGGGTATAACACCCCCACTGGAAAACCATCGGCCCTGAAGTCTTCAACATCCCATAAAAACGAAGACAAAAAGGTGAGTTAAAAGCCACTAACTTCTCCCAATTTTTTATCATTGGCCTTTGCAAAGTTTTCTTTCATGAAGTGTAAATCTTCAGTTCTAATTTTCCAAGATTCTAGCTTTTGTACTTTTGTGTAAAATGAATAATTAGGCAATCTTGGGGAATTTCTGAGTGACTTTAATTCCACATACCTGTATTAATCACAAAAAGATCTGAGAACCCATTTTGTATTTGAGGTGAGGGTTGAATCAGTAACTTGGACTAAATAACTCTTGGTTGTGTGCATAAGAAAACTCCTTGCATAAGGCAGGTTCCTCAAAATATGGACCATTAGATAATGTTCAACTTTGGGAGTTCATTTTTCCTGAAGTGAACAGCAGTGGATTAATTCCCAATGTCTGATGTAATGAGGGAAGTCATGGCTGATATTTGGAACAATGATGACCGCGTCCATCTTTCAACTTAACTGAATTAAAGTCTCAAACGTCATCGTTTTTGACGGACGTGAACAACCTGTTGAAGTCAGCATTTTTGAAGGATGTGAATTCAACCTGTTGAAATCCTAGCCAATAAAATTTACTGAGGAAAGATAATCCCTGAGGTTATTTTACACAGATTCATATGTGGTGAAAGGTGATAATATTTACACATATTAAAACCGTAATCACGAATTAAAAATATGTCTCACAATTAATCGGGTCCAGAATTCGGCAGTCGCGAATTTCATTCCATCCTGTGAATTTCTGTCATTAGTGTCAAAAAAATCAACTGCAAAAAAACAGCGAGTAAAATCCAAATCAATGGACAACACAACAAACCATCATCCTTTTACAACTGGACCGATCACATTTTCTTCAAGTACAAGTACGTTTCGATAAACCACAGTCCAAAATACTAATCGTGGCAATTTTGTGGCTTCCGTGATATGTCGCGGAGCCGTTAGAGAAACGGTTTGTTGCATTGTGGCCTGTTTGACCTTTGACATCAACCCAGATAGTGCACCCTCTTTTTTATTCAATATTCATGAGCCCCTCCATGGAATGGTGATGCTCCGCAATTTTTCTCTTCAGACCAAGGTTTCATAAAAGAAAATTGGTCATTCTGAATGACTTTCGAAAAAAATGACTTCCGAGACATAAAATAGGATTCATGACGAAAATCTAATGCTCAGAGTTGTTAATTTTAATTTAACTTTAAGCGGGGTTATCTCCAAAATAAGTGGCAAAATGAACATCACGCATGGAATTTTCAAGCACTACGTGTGACAGCGTTTTCGGCATTCTCAAACATCATGCATTTTTGTCAAATTTTTGCGAACGTCATCAAAATTCTGTCAAATATGACGTTCACAACAAACCTATTGTACTTATAAATTTTTGATGCAGCCAAACTTAAGGATAATTTTTGGTGGTTGAAAGGTACATAAGACCTGGTAGATATGCGGGTATAGTGAGAAAGATTATAAACGGTAAGAGAATGAAGAGAGACAAACTTTTCTCATCATTTTCCGTCAATTTTGTGCTCTTTTTTTGTGGCTCATATTTTTTAAAAGTTATTTCTAAGGTGCTTTAAAATACATCACTTGAAAAATATATTGAATTCTCTTTCTTGTCGAGATGAGTTTTGAAATCAAGTCCTCTGGTGTAAACACTTTGACGTAAAACTTTATATGAATTCAACTCTATTTGCTTTGCACTGGTAGCCAACCAAATGTCCACCAAATGTACACATTATGCCTAATTATCCCCAAATAATCATTTTTAAAAATCTGAAGGTGCTGATTTGAATTTTATATGATCATAGTCACGCTTTTAGAAGTTCTGAAAAATGACATCCGGAGTTGCATTTTGGTCCATTTTAGGAAGAACATGCCGTAACTTCTAATCAATTAACATTTAGTGTTCACATGCCGATTTATATCAGTTTTTATCACTTTTTACACATTACCCAGTCTGTTAATAGAAGATAAATCCCCCTGAAATCGGCTTACTGCATATGTACCCATTTGAATTCAACTGCTGTATGGACTTAACCAACTTGCTCATTAAAACCCTCCCAGGCAAAGACACATTCTTGACACAGTTGTCATATCAGTCAAAATTAGTCAAATTTCCCATATGTGTCTGTGTACTGGGGGAAATCAAGTGGAAGCAATTTTTGACTGTTTTTGGTGGTTACAGCAAAAGTTAATGTTTCCGTTTTTCTGTAATTCTTTGTGTGACTCATGTTTTTAGGGCAATGTGTGAGTTGGCTGGCTTTTAGAACCTTGTTTCATGAGCCTGACCAAAGTCTATCACAGATGAGCCCTTATTTACTAATTCACTGTTCAGCAGACATGTTGCTGTCTGCACTGTACTGTACTGAAAAGAATTTCAAATGAATTTTTTGTTGTTTGGAACTTAATTAAACAATTTATGCTTGTAACAACTATAGAAATGGCCATTTTTTCAAAAGTTTACTTGCTGTATGAAATGATGCCTTCAAGTTATCACAAAATTCTATATTTTTCAACAACTGTTGATGCTTCACAGAAGAGCCTACCTGTCTACTATGTTATTTGGATGGATTTTCTCGGTATTTTTTTTTTTTTACAAAATGCCTTGAAACTGGCCCCCTACAAGTACATGTACATCAGGAACTTTTATTCAGAATCAAAATTCAGATTGTTATCACAGAAAGCAAATCAGACCTTTGTCATCTTCTGTGAGGAGGTCAAGGTCTTGGGATTCATTTCAATGAAACACAGAGCATTTTCATTGAAATCACAATTGAAATGTCTCGATACAAAGAGGACAACAGTTACACGTAGTTGAACAGGTTGTTTTTACCTTGTAATTGATTTCTGCCCAGACCTTCATGCCAGCCATATTTTTTATGGGTGTTGGCGTGGATTGCAGTGAGTCACGCATGTGGGAGGGTGTCCCTGTGGTCTGATTGAAGTGAAATGCCTTGTTATGGAGATTCCAGTGGATTGACAAGTGACCTTGTTAAGGAGGTTGTTGGGATTTGTTTTGATGAGGAGGAAATCCCATAGTATCAGGACAGTAGGAGGGTTAGGGTAGTTTGTATTCATCAAATTCAAGGGGCATTTGTATCTGTCATGTCCAGTCTGATCAGTGGTAGCCAGATGATTACAGATGCGTTGTAATATTTGGCTGGAATTGGAAACTAGGGTCCAGCTTTGCTGTCCATTGAAGAATTAGATGTTCAGCTGTTTAAATATTTTCCATGTATACATGTGCCGGCACATGTACTTGTGTATGTGCATTGTGAATTTTGGGGTCAGTCTTGAACGTATCGTTCATTGTATTGGCATGTTGAGATTATTCAATTTGCTGGATTCCGTGAGAATGAGCAGATTTCAAACTTCCTTATCCTTAGTCTGACTGGTAGAGTTTGGATGTATTGTGGGGAAATTCCAAAGGATTTACGTGTATTTTATATAGATATTTGATTTGTACTAAAGTGTACTCAAAACTTTCAGCAAGCAAAATTCATTTTGCATGTAAGGGGATCCTCTGAAGAACATTGTAACTGCAATCGAAAGTTTAATAATGCGTACTACAGCTTTCACTTTAAGTTCAGTGAGTAATCATTAACATTCATTGAGTATGTACTGTACACTGTACATTTTTGTTCTGTGACACGGAACCATTTTGCGATTTACTTAAATAATTATCCCTCCTATGCTGAAGTCACTCTTT